CCTCCCCCCACCAGTAATATCTATCAAACTATGGATCCTACACATCCACTGGACGTAGATTCTAAAAGTACAATGTAAACTTATAGCTAGAAATGTAATCCAAAAGCATTTTAACGGCCAAACTATCAACAATTTAGGATTTTCCACGAAAAATTAATCGGGTGTCCGCCATGTTTTTCTTTCTCACTGGGAAAGTTTGAGATCACGTGACATGGACACTGCTCATTAGAAATTAATAGGAAGCTATATTGTATCCATGTCACGTCTTGAGAGGGTTATTTGTGAATACTACGTTTTGCCCTGTCGACCAACGTAGCTATTATACGTTTTTTTGTGAGACTGGGTTGAAATGACTGATTCATGCTGAAATATGTGTTGTAGTAGGTAACCCTAACCCTAGTTAGAAAACCCAAACATCTGCCTCCCAGTACAAATCCGGACTGCTCAGTCTTGAACTCGTTAAATCTCAGCTAAAACTCACCTGTTTGCATTGGCTTTTAATACTAGTCGAGCATAACATTTTTATATTTGTATGTGTTTTTATATGTCTCTAGTTATTGTGCTTTTTATCTTATTTTTAATTATTGTTTTATTAACTCCTATCGTGTTAATTTATATTTGTTATAATGAAGTTCAACCAGGAAGACTGTCTTTTCTCATTCATTTGCTATTTCTATGTTACTACTCTCTCTCCTCTCAATAAGTGATCGGGGGCGTCACTCCCCAGTTTAACCAATCACTTCGCTCTATTCTCACAAGCCTATCATAGCGCTCGGCTAAACCTTTTAAATCTGCTCTCCCCTCTGACAGCTGTCATTTCAGGTGACTCTACTACGCAACCCTCCTCCACCCCTTAGCACCTCCTGTCCCTCTGAATCCAGGGTCAAGCTAAGCCCCTCCCCTTCAGACCGAACCCAACTATCCATTCACCACCACCAGGGTCAAGCTAAGCCCCTCCCCTTCAGACCGAACCCAACTATCCATTCACCACCACCAGGGTCAAGCTAAGCCCCTCCCCTTCAGACCGAACCCAACCATCCATTCACCACCACCAGGGTCAAGCTAAGCCCCTCCCCTTCAGACCGACCCCAACCATCCATTCACCACCACCAGGGTCAAGCTAAGCCCCTCCCCTTCAGACCGACCCCAACCATCGATTCACCACCAGGGTCAAGCTAAGCCACTCCCCTTCGGACCAAACCCAACCATCCGTTCACCACCACCAGGGTCAAACTAAGCCACTCCCCTTCAGACTGACCCCAACCATCCGTTCACCACCACCAGGGTCAAGCTAAGCCCCTCCCCTTCAGACTGACCCCAACCATCCGTTCACCACCACATGGGTCAAGCTAAGCCCCTCCCCTTCAGACCGACTCCAACTATCCATTCATCACCACCAGGGTCAAGTTAAGCCACTCCTCTTCAGACCGACCCCAACCATGCATTCTCCACCACCAGGGTCGAGCTAAGCCCCTCCCCTTCAGACTGACCCCAACTATCCATTCTCCACCACCAGGGTTAAGCAAAGCCCCTCGGTTCTCCCCTCCCGAATGATACTCCTGCACAACGGGGCCTAATCGCCAAAACTCCATTACATTCATTTGTGTATTCCTGGCAATAAATATGTATTCTTACATCAAAACCATCTCTCCTGATTGAACTGAGGTTGTTTTAAATGCGCTATATAAATAAATAAAGATTAAGATTTTGATCCAGAGTAAAATGTCTTCCTCTGTACTTTGAGTTTGAGGCTTAACGGCTACATCACTGATTCATGCTGAGATTTGAGTTTTAGTTTGAGTAGGTAGGTGCAATCCTGATGAAAACTTAAGTCAAAGAAGGGAAATGTTTACATGTAATTTACAAATAACAATGTGTATTCATTTAAATACACTACCGTTTATATTATATTATATTTATTACAGGTCAAATATCATTTTATTACAGCGTTATATTTTGACATCGTCGTAAATATTTGTATTTTATCTTGTCATTATTTTTTATTTGCATACACTTTGGTTCAATGTGTACATTTTAACTTTAACTTCCCTATGTTTAAATTATTATTTCTTTTTAATTTCCTTATATTCTTTCTTGATTTATTAGTTTTTATAATATTGTAGTTCAACTTTAACTTCTCTGTTTATATAATTTTACTTCATTTTACATTTAATCAATTAATTTAGATATCATTTATTTATTGTTATTTATTATTAATTTATATATTTTTAAAGATGAATCAACTCAAAAATCCACATGTGTGTGTTTATCAAAATGTCTTCCACTCTACCTTGAGTTAGAGGGGCGCTCCTCAGCAGGTGGTCCCTCTGGAGCCTCAGGGCGACGGAGCAGTACACGGAGACGAGGTCGTCCCCCTGAGGGCGGAGCAGCGAGCCCAGGACCCTCTCCTCCTTCAGGGGCCCGTCTCTGGCCCCCCACAGGGCCTCGCAGAGGGCCTCCAGCTGACCCCCGCCCGCCCTCCTGGAGCTCCACGGCATCACGGACAACACGGAGTACATTTCCTCCACAAACTGCTCCACCTTCTCAGGCCGAGACTCCGGTTTCCTCAGCTGGTGCAGCAGGTGCTGGATGAAGGTGAGCTGCAGCGGACGCTCCTCTGAGGAACACTGGGAGAGGGGGAAATAATAATAATAATAATAATAATAATAATTCATTCTGTTTAGAAGCTTTCAAAGCACCAGAGTACACCTTACAATTCATAAAATATTCTAAGATTTAAGATTTTACAAAAGGACTGTAACAGGATTCACATGTAATGAAATGTTGACCATGAGAGTTGTGCAACAGGTCGCCGTCAGTCTGTGCGTCTGTGTTTTGTGTTTGTTCAAACGGTGCATGAGTGATGATATGTGAATGTATTTTAATGTTTATTATGTTTGTATATGTACATGTATGTGGAACTGCAGGACGGAGTCCAGAACAAATGTCCTTACGGGGACAATAAAGTATATCGTATCGTATTGAATAAAAAGGCGTCTGGTTTACCTTCAGCACGGTGGACCCCAGCTCCAGACCC